GATTTATCTTCCAGCTAATCTTTTTGTTATGCCCATGTTTTCCCTTACTGTAGCTCTCTCTCCATGTGCCACATGTTATATGTCTTCATTTCCTAATATTTCTTTATTGAGGCCCCTTCCACACAGCTGAATAAAATCCTACATCATCTACTTTGAACTGCAATATATGGCAGTGTGGACTCAGATCACCCAGTTCAGAGCAGATATTGTGGGATTTTCTGCCTTGATATTCTGAGTTATATGATTGTGTAGAAGAGCCCTGAGTTCCCTCAATGTTTTGCAGGTCTCTCTACTACATGGGGACATTCTGTAGATATACATTTATGTTGTTCGACTTTGTTAAAAACTTTCAGATTTAATTGATAATTTACCTCATTATAGCTAGACAGTTTCTGTCACTGATCTAGAACCACATTTTGCCCATGCCTGGCTTAGAGAGCACTGTTGTAGTAATCGATCATGATTAGAATGCATCAGTCAGAGGATGGACTACCTCTTCTCTCCTAATGGCTTCTTGATGGTATGCCTTGGTAATCTATAACAGTAAGAAGGGTACTAATACAGGCGATCTCAAAAGTATGGTGAAAATTATTTATTGGTCTAATGAATTTCCAGTTTTGCTATTTGTCAGTCTCAGTAAATCAGGGTGGGATTGGGCTCTCCTGATTTTTTTTATTTGAAAAAAGAAATAAATTTGAAAGAAAGAATGAAATTAACTGTTGCCTCATATTCACAGGCAGATGGCAGAGAAATCCAATAGGAGCTTGTTTCCACAGCTTCCTGAGAACTGGCAAAGCCTTCCATCGTGATCCCAAAAGGACAGGGAAAGGGAGGAAGGAATGGTGGGTGGCACATTCTGCTCCTGAGTCAGCCTTAGCTGGCCAAATAGCAGCAGACAGATCTATTCGCTGAAACTCTCCAAATTGACTCTGGAAGGCCAGGCAAGCAAGATCAGAAAATGGAAATGCTACTTTTTGGACAGCCATTCCCTTCTCCAGCAAAAAGCAATTTTGTAGAGCTTTGGTGCATCCACAATTCTATAGTTGTTAGAGTTTCTTCAAAGAACTCCTAGCAGGTCCAAGGAACACATTTCGCTTTCTGCAAGATAGGGTATGTAGTAATGCTGTTTTGTTTACCAACTTTGTGCCAGTGTTAACCATCTTCAGAGGCACGTCATGATGTAATCTCTATGCACATGAATGTGGGGGGAGGGAGGGGATTATTCTCCAATGGATTCTTTCAGCCCACTTTGCCTTCCATGTGTGTGTTAGTTGTTCTTATACAGAATGAAGTTTGGAGAGAAAGAATGAGGGGAAATGAGAAAAATGTCTATTTACCAACTCATTGATCCATCAGCTGTTGATTGATGTGTGCTTTGGTCAACTTTCAACATCCACTGCTTCATATATTTTATGAATTTGTGATTTAAGAGCATAGTTCTTCGTCATCCATGAGATAAAGTTACATATTTGTCAGCTTAGGACCTCATCCCACAAGAGGGGGAAAGCGGGTCGAATCATCTTCTTCATGTAGCATTCCGTGGTGTTCCATTTTTTTAAAGAAGACAGAGAGTTTACTCACTCACATCTCACAGCATCGTCTTCTCATGTTTCTAACTCAACCATCCGCTTTTCCATCACATGTGACATGGGTGGGAATTGTATCCCCCCATTTCAAAGAGACCAGTGCATTTTTAAACCACTTCTTTCAATGAGAAGATTCTTTTAATCTCTCCTCTCAAGATGACCAGCACATTTTTAAAATACTTCTCTCAGTGGGATCTGCCTTGTACTCTTTGAACCCTCACCTCACAAGGAGATCAGCACACTTTTCAAACACTTATTTCAATGGGATCCACACTGTCTTTAAACCACTAATGGGACAGAAAGAGCATTGAGGAGCATTAGCAGACCACCCACATAAACATTCACACTGAAACATCGCAAAACAGAGTGTAAATAGGGTCACCATGTCAGGAGGCAACTTGAAGGCCCACAAACACACACACAAAAGATTGAATTTCAGCACAATTCCTTATCATCCAAAGAGTACTTGCTGAAACACTCTCTTGTTCAACTGGAAATCCTTAATTTCTTGCATCTGAAAACGAAAGGGTTAAGTGTGTTGATGGAAAGGCCAGAGCAGTTGCAAATGGATTTATTCTGAGCTGTTCTCTCTCCTTCTGAATTTATAAATGTAAATATACAGAGTAGATCCCTCATTGGCAATCTTGTAATCCCAAGGGAAAGTAATCCCAGAGAGACTTGAAGGTATACGATGTAACAGATTTGCTCAGACAAATTTCCTATAGGGAATTCTACCTTTGGACTGTCTTTGCTAGGGAGCTAAATTGTGGTGTCTCCATTAAAAGTAAGATAGAGCAGATATGTTATAAGCTGAATTTTGCTTCGAATGCACGTTCTCCTAAAATTCTGAGTAGACATCATGTGTTTGGGAACTGAGGCCTGTTAAAGGCACAGATGGAACAGTGTGGATAAAATTAATATTTTCTAACTTTAAAAGATTCACTATATAAATGAAAGTGAACAAAGCATAACTATTAGCACCTTCGTATGTCATCAATTACTGCTGTTTGGGATGATCACCCGTTCATTCATTATGTGCACTAAAGAAAATAAACTACATGATTTTGGAATCTTTGCTTTAAAAAATAACCAGAGGCTAGGTGGCAGCATTGCTACAGGTTTTTTTTTTTTTAAGCATCTATGCTTTAGCTTCTCCAACATCCAAACTTTGCCCCAGGTTAGTTTATATATTTTGTGCTTCTCCTTCAAATATAGGGCCAAGGTCCATTCTCATGAAAACCACACAAAGGTTCTTTATGTTATTTCTGTGAGCCAACTTAAGGGGCACATCTTCTCTGCACATTGGAAGGCACATCTGCCTTTGTATTTAAATGAGTGTTCCTCTCCACTAAATAGTGGCCTTGCATCCAAAGACTAAAATGAAATAGGATTTCCAAGGAGCAGAACTTAAGAAATGGTGCAGCAGATATGAACGGCTAATATATGGCATAGCCATATATAGGCATTGAATGTTTGCCTGTTGTTTTGGAAAATGCCATTAGTCCCAAGGGAGAGATAGGGCAGGATACAAATAAAGTGTTGTTGTTATTGTTGTTGTTGCTGTTATTCCATTGTGTAGTTTCAGTGAGACTAACAGCTGATCCCATGCATTTTTACTCGGGCATTCAAACACACAAAATGTTAATAGCAGCAGAAACATCAGGAGATTCAGGAAGTGAGTATGGAAGGAGAGGAAGCAAAGTACCCTTTCCCTCCTCAAGAACAGGGACCATTAACCTGGTGAGAGGCTTGGAGCAACTAATGGGTATTGTCCCATTAGTTGTTTATTTACTGTCATGAACATATACAGAAAGTAGCCCCCTGTGGCACAGTGGGTTAAACTGCTAAGCTGTTGAACTTGCTGACTGAAAGGTCGGTGGTTCAAATCCAGGAAATGGGGTGGGTTCCCACTGTTAGCCCCAGCTTCTGCAAACCTAGCAGTTCAAAAACATGCAAATGTGAGTAGATCAATAGGTACCGCTCTGGCGGGAAGGTAACGGCACTCCATCCAGTCATGCCAGCCACATGACCTTGGAGGCATCTACGGACAATGCTGGCTCTTTGGCTTAGAAATGGAGATGAGCACCACACCCCAGAGTCAGACACAAGTAGACTTAATGTCAAGAGGAAACCTTTATCTTTACCTTATATAATGTCATGGAGAGGGAGACACCTGTGGAATTCTCTGCCACATCAGCCAAAATAACTTGACTAACCTTGAGTCTTATATATCTTGACCTGTATAGATGAATGGCCTCATTTTCTGCTCTGCCTGAGATAGCAAAAGATCTTGGATTTGTCCTGCCAAGCATCTCATTTTTAATTCTTTGGAATAAGAGCTTGGTTATATAACTTATGGATTAAGGAAACAACTGACATGCATATGCTTTGTCTCTCTGTGTCTTGCTGTTTTATCCTACACAGCCAAAAAAAAAAAAAAAGCACAGAAATAAGAAATTGAGATCTTGCTATTGTACCAGGTCTTAGCAGTGAAATCTGGAGAAAGCACTTCAAGATGTTCTGTCAGAGGTAAATTTACAGCCTCATCACACTAGAACATTAAATCCGGTTTCTGCCTCCTACTGAATTCTGGTGTTTGTAGTTTAGTAAGGTTCAGGACCTGTCTGGCTGCACAGTTTAAAGGCCCCTTCATAAACTCCTGCAGGAGGCAGAAACTGGATTTAAAGTGGATCCATTCTCTAGTGTGATGAGGTCCTAAGGGATTTATCACATGAGGCTGTCAATGTGCAATTAACACACTGTAATAATGATTACAGCACAACATGTGTTACTGCATCTAACTCATTTCTGGAAGGTCTTTTTTCATTAATGGAGAAAGCTTATTAATGGTTCCAATATCACTGCAGTTGTAGCACTATTTCTGGTGTGATCATTTCTTTCTGCATCACTCCTGGAATTGCTGCAATCACGTTTAGCGAGTAAGCATGCTCCTCCTCCTGTCCCAAACAATCGGAACAGTGAGAGGTTGCTCCCTCAATGCCCAATTGCACAGTACCAGCCCTGAGCATCGTGAGCACAGGAAGGAAAGGAGGCAGCAGGGATGTGCAGAAGACTCATTGTGGCATAAAGAATCAACGAAGCAGCAGCATTGCACATATGAAAGCATTTTCAGTATATTTTAGTATATTTCTGATAGGTTAAACAATGTGATTGTTACAAGACCTCAAGCTTGTGTGATAAAGTCCCAAACCACAATCCTATGTACGCTTACTCAGAAATAAATCCAACTGTGGTCAGTAGTACTTACTTTTAGCCAAGTGGATTTCCCCACTTACTTAAATTGCACTGAATTTAATGGGACTTACTTCTCAATGAATAGAGATGGGATTGCATTGTACTTACTTAATAATTGATGAACTTAGATAAAGATATTAAGACATAAATGAAAGGAAGCTGTAGGTTTTCATATTCAATCTTTTAATGAGTATAAAATCAAAGGTAACTGATCAGAACTAAAAAAAAGATCCATTTAGAAACTATAAATCATGATTTTGATTAAGAATTAAATTGCTCCAGAAACACACACGAGCACCCATAAACAAAATAAAACTAAGCAAAGCTTGATTATAAGAAGGTAAAAGTGATTTTCAGATTTCAAAGTAACAATGCCGTTTTCAAAAGTAAAAAAAAATGCTTTTTTTCTCTCCCTAAAAATAACATAAGCTGCTGATACTATAAGATTATACTGCTACCTGTGCATAAGCAAAATTGAGGTGCATGCTTAACCCAACCTAGGTACTTACATTTTCTCTTTCTCAAACTTAATTACTGGTTCTCTTTGCATCACCTTATAAAAGAACATCTACTGATTGTGTACTGGGAGTTGAAATGGCTGTGAACATAGGGCACCAGGTACAGCAAGCCTCCTTATCCCTTCTGCCTTTTCCTATGATGTTGACTTTTTTATACTAACAGGAATACATAACATAGAAATGTTATGTATTCCTGTTAATGAAAAAGTCAACATCATTGCTTCCCTATGGCACAGAAATTTAATTTGTCTAAGGTCATCCAGTGGGTTTCTGTGGCTGGGCAGAGATTCAAAACTCTAATTTCCCATAATCCCAGCCCAATAATCAAAGCCCTATCCCACACTGATTCAAATACATTCATATATGCTTACTTTGTCTAGCAAATGCAGTTTGAAACAGAGTGTAAATCCTTCTTTATCTAATTCTCTACAGTTCCCCCCCCCCCCCTAATCTGTGAGACAGAACCGCCAAGGTATTTGGGGTGATCGAAAGACTTTTCGCATTTGGAAGAACAAATGTTTGCATAAGTTGCACAATTGCATACATTCCTTCAACGCTAATGCCTAGTTGCATAATTTTTTAAACATTAGAAGCATCGAGTGGGTTGTCTGAAACTTTTTTGATTAATTAAGCATTCCTCCACCACCGACTGTATCTATGTGTTTACAAAAGTGAAATACATTTGTATTATAAAGGAACTTTTTCATAAATTGTAAGGGGAAAAGCCCAACAACATGTATTGGCTTTCTGACATACTCCTTCCCAAGTGAAGAACCAAAGTAGAACATGCTAAATACATGCATGCATTTAATGTATCTGATTTTTGTGCTCTGTAGAACAACTGTAGTGAAGATGTGATGAGTGAATTAAATGAATTGCATGTTTGTGGTCTGGATGGGGACTGGCAAGGCTGAAGACACCATTCTAAAAATGGAACCTGGAAAACTGCATTATGGAGAACAAAGGAGGTGAAGAATTCATTAACTGTAGCAAGAAAGGTGCTGATGAGAACTCACCCGAGAACTCTGGTTACAAGCAACACATATTTAAATAGTTAAAGACAATAACTCTAAGTTAAAGAGGTTAAACAACCTATCTGTTCCAGAGTTGACAAGGCTCCAGCAGGTCTGAGCTGAATGACAGAGATTATCTAAACAATCAAGTAATGGATAACCAAACAGCGCTACATAAGGAGGCCTTTTTTTGACTGTGTGGCAGATCTGTGAGGAATGCAGCATCTCTCTGCCTGCCTGTCTTCTCCAGCAACAGGTCTGAATGGAGGAGGTTGGTGAGTGCGAATGAGTGAATGTTGGAGTAAATATGATGCTTCCCCTTTGTCTGTGTAACCAATATAGATATTACAAAACCAGTGCTGGGGTCTCTGTGTCTACTTCTTTCTCTGAAAGTGCCAGATATACTCTGTTGCACTGAAAATGGATTAAAGAATATTTTTTAAGGTTCAAAAAGTATTCATGGCATAATAATGATAGGAATGGAGCAACCGTGGGACCATTTTTATGCAGGTAGGCTTATTTTAAACTCCCAATCCCATTTTTTTAAAAAACCCTTATTTTTTAAAAATGGCCACCAATGCTGCTATTTCCTGTGGCAGGAAAGACTTGCATTAGCTCAGTGTTATTGTTGTTGCATGCCTTCATGTTTATGAGTTATGGCAACCTTAAGACAACCCTATCACAGTTTTTTTCTTGGCAAGATTTGTTGAGATGAGACTTGCTTTTGCTTTCCTTTGAGAGTGTGTCCTCCAGCAAAGGAAAGCAATGATCAATCTCTATAAACTAGTGAAGAGTAGAGACATCACACTGGCAACAAACATCCACAGAGTTAAAGCAATTGCATTTCTCGTAGTAAACTATGGATGTGAAAGCTGGACCATAAGGAAGGCTGAATGAAGGAAAATAGATACTTTTGAACTGTGGTGTTGGAGGAAAATTCTGAGAGTGCCTTGGACCACAAGAAGATCCAACCAGTCCATACTCCAGGAAATAAAGCCCAACTGTTCACTGGAGGGAAGGATATTAGAGGCAAAGATGAAGTACTTTGGCCACACAATGAGAAAACAGGAAAGCTTGGAGAAGACAATGATGCTGGGGAAAATGGAAGGAAAAAGGAAGAGGGGCCGACCAAGGGCAAGATGGATGGATGTTATCCTTGAAGTGACTGGCTTGACTTTGAAGGAGCTTGGTGTGGCCACGGCTGACAGGGAGGTCTGATGTGGGCTGGTCAATGAGGTCACGATGAGTTGGAAGAGACTGAATGAATAAACAACAAGAGAGTGTAACTTGCCCAAAATCACTCAGTGGATTTTCATGGCTGAGCAGGGATTTGAACCCTGGTCTCCAGAATCATCGTTCAGGGCTCAAACCATCACACCACACTGACTTTAATGTATTGGAAGACTAGTTATGCTTAAACATTGTATCCAGTTCCTTTTTCTCACCGGAGTGTGCTCTCCACCATCCATATGGTTAATAGGAACATGTTTACTGGACTTGCATTTAAGGAACAATTATTTCACCTGCCACACAGTCAGCCTGTGAATTGGTTATGGGCTGAGGTGAGACTCACATGTGAAAATATTTCAGGAGAATGGCAAAATCTATAATATCTTAAATTCAGCTACTTGCCAGCAGCAAAGCATTGCAAGACTTTGATGAGAGAAGGAGGGAACAAACATATTTTCATAATATCCTTTTCTCAGGAAGAGATCCAAGAGATACATTTCAGCAGATTAGTTTCTTTTTACAAATCCAGTGATGGTAAAGGGAACACACAGCAGAAGACCATGTCCCATTGGATTGTATGATACCACAATTCTTCTCTTGACTCCTCTCTGGCTCTCCTATATCCCAAAACCTTGAAAGAAGAACAGAAAATATGTGTCTTCAACATATAGCCACCAGGAGCACTCCCCATGTCCTTGCCATAATGCCCTCATGCTTCCCACTTCATACTCCCTTCCCTGAGCCACGAGGAGAGACAGATAAGAAATTTATTATTATTATTATTATTATTATTATTATTATTATTATTATTATCATCATCATCATCATCATCATCATCAGACACTGCTGCCACCTTGAAGATGAGGGATTAATGTAGGAATTGGCCCAGTGTGGCCCTTAAGCCACTTCTGGCTACTTTTGGTCTTGCTGGCATTTTTAACAGTCTGTGTTTCCCCTGAAGGACTCAGGGATAGAAAAATGGCTCCAGAATTTTCTGCATTTGCCCCTGATGTCAAGAGGTCTGATGGCCCAAATTCACTTGACTACATCTGAGGCTGGAAGTTTTGGATTTTTCCCATATATTTTCAAGCTGTGATTAGTTGAATTGGAGGACTTAGGGCCCATGGATATGGAGGACGAACTGGGTGTAAATAAATGAGAAAATCTAGTGGAAGATGAGTGGAGACAGGGATTGAGAGCTATGTTGCCAAGGTTCCCAAAATGTCTCAGTTGGAGAGGATCAAACCAACAAGCCCCCTGCCCACTTCTTGTTCCAAAGTATAAAGAAGATGGGTTGCTGTGAGTTTTCCAGGTGGTATGGTCATGTTCCAGAAGAATTCTCTCCTGACTTTTTGCCCAGATCTATGGCAGGCATCCTCAGAGGAGGTTGTGAAGTCTTCACAACCTCTGAGAAAGCCTGTCATAGATGTGGGCAAAAAGTCAGGAGAGAATGCTTCTGGAACATGGCCATACCACCTGGAAAACTCACAGCAACCCAGTGATTCCGGGCATGAAAGCCTTCCACAACATACAAAGAAAATCCTTGCCTATGACTGATGGAGAAGCTTCAAGCAATTCTGTCAATCATCAGCCAGGCTAGCAGGGACAAGAACCTCATGTGCATAATATTTGCTTCAGATAGAAAGAGGAAGCAAAAACTGCCCCCCCCCCCCCCCCCCCCCCCCCCCGGTAATACAACCAACCAACACACAAAGAATTTAAAAGCCCAGGTAAATGTTTCACCCTTCAAACTAAATCAGAGCTATCCTAGAACTGATATAATTTTAGGGAATCTGTTGAATTCAACCGAAATGTTATCTGTAAGGTCTGAGGCATATGTGATGGGTTTGTGACAACAACAAAAAGGCAGAGTTCTCTCCCAATACTCTCAGTTGCTTGAGTTACACTACCAGACATCTTAAATGAAAGGGAATCACAGACGGAAGGGCAATTTGAGACCTGACAGGCAGGAGACCACAACAGCTTGGCTGGCTGACATTCACACTCCTGAGCAAATATGTCATACATCATGGGAAGTGCTCTTGCAGTTGACTTAAGATGACTAGGACTAGCAGTGCATGGTGACAGTTGCCATAAGGCAAAAGAGACATTGCTGGCAGTTTGCCCTACAGGCGTGGTACTAGGATGGTGGCTAGTCTCTGTGCTATTTCTGCTCAGCCAGCAATACAGAATACTAGAAAATTATTTTAACATTGTCCAGGTTGGTTGTTCTGATTTGATCTTGATAATACTTTATCAGTTTAAATAATACCATAGTAGGGAAGGTAAGCTAGAGGATATACTTCAAATTACAATATAGAAGATATTGTTTAAACAGTATTGTTTTAGAAATTAAAGTCTATGTAATCTAAGGTAACCAAGACCAAGTCTGATCCCACCAGGAAAGGACACGCATAGTACAGCAGTCTATGATATGTGGAGGCACTCAAGAAGATAGTCATCAGGCAAGTGTGTGTTCAGGACATGCATGAAGAAGTTGGAGAATTTGATTCAAACCTTTCAATTTGTTCTCATTGTATTGCATGGCAGGTTTGATGACTCTGATCAAGCATGTTGATTTTTGTAGCTTGGCAGGTAGGAAGGCAAACATTTCACATTATCGTATAGGAAGGGGCACTGATAGCAAATAGATGAATTACAGCATAGTCGGAAGCAATATACAACCAAACATATACAGTGTATCTTTGGAAGACATTTGCTCCATGGCTCCATACGCAAAAGAAAATGTTTTCTGCCTTGAACCCATTGTGAGAGTACTTCTATGATAGTACATGTGGGCTCCGGCCCATGTATTCAAGATAGTATCAGAGCAGACTACTCCAGATTATTTTGCCTGGTGTAGAATTTGTCAATAATAGCTAAAGAGTCTTTAACATTACTAATCACAGTAGATGCATTTTAATGCATTTCCAAATGCCGCAACCATCCCAAACTGTACTGAACATTAACATTGGGATTTTTTTTTTACTGTATTAAGATAATAGATATTATTTGACTTAGTTTTGAACAAATAAGAAAATGGACCGACTTATTCTTCACTGAGGAACTTGTCAGGGACATCCATTGCCTGTTCTTTTGTCTGAATCACCACCTGTGTAGTGGTAGCCATGTATTTCATTCTTCATTACCAGTTTTTAACATTCTTACAAAGATTATTCTGAAAGATTTTAGCTTCCATCTAGTAAGAAAATTATGGGGGGGGGGGGATCTGTTCCTGGTTCGAAAGTGTTATTTCTTGTTTAATTGTGCAGTACTTACTTTGGAAGTAGTTGTTATGCTCTAGAAATTTTGTTTTTGTAGCTGCCACAAACTATGTTGACTTGCTTGAGACTCTAGGATATATTCATTGAAAAACTATAGCAAAATGTGCTACAGGATGTTCCGCAAAAACAAAGTTTTGGCAGTCTAATATTTTTCCCTATGTTTTTATGATAGAACCAATAAGAAAATTGGCTATTATAGAGAGGCCACTGTCATGGTATTTGTCCTTGCAAGACATGTGCTAGTAGATAACTTATCTTGTAATTGCCAGTCTTGGTAGAATGTGGATGAAGTTTATATCTAAAAAGCTGGTTCACTATACAGGAAGTAAGAGAAATCTACCTCTATGACAGGAAATTCCCTCTTGGAAGAGTATTCATGGGCAAAAGGTGTCTCAATTAAAGTTTTATCACCAATCCTTGTTTCCACAACAAACCATTTTTTAAAAAATCCAGTTATCTCCAGGAGATAAAGTGCCACGAAATTTTCTGAATAGGGGCACAGTACAGGGGTGATAACCCTTCCCTATACTATCCAAACCTTCCCCCCTCCCCCCCCCCTCTTTCTATATATACATGGCTGGAGTTACACTTGGTCCAATTTACAAACAAATTCAGCTTAAGAACAAACCTACAGAACCTATCTTGTTCGTAATTTGGGAACTGCCTGTAATTCTAAAGCTTAATTATGCCATTATATTGAAAATTGGACATTTTATGGCCATGTCTCAAAGTTTACCTCCACCTATTCCATTTCCTCAGCATACTGACATGCACCGTGAAGCAGTTATATCCAGCTTTTAGAAAGCATTACAAAAAAACCTGTACTTACGCTATTGATACATGCAAATTGCCTTCTTTCCATCTCCACTTTCCCTCTGTTTCTATGTCAGTCATACCCAACCAGTGTGTCGAAGCATTGAGATTATCCTTTAGAAAACTCTGCAAAAATATTAATTTGTAGTTATGAATTATTTTTCTTAAAGCTGCAGTCTCCAAAACTTCTTAGTTACTAAATCCTGACAAATATACTTATGATTGAAAATGTTTAGGACTGTAATGTGTAGTAAGTCAGGTTTTGGCATTCTTAACACCAGGACTAAACATTAACAGCTGTTCAGTGACATGAAAGTGTTTCTTTGGATTATTGATATTGCTGGATATATTTTGCATTCACTTACTTTTTTGTACAATCGTTACTTTTTTGTACCGTTCTCATAGCTATTGGGGGGAAACGAGTCATGTTCTTGCATTTTGAATTCCTTGATCTGCTTCTGCACAATGTCACCTTTGAGAGCCCATTTTCCCTTGGCCTTGGCCTTAAGTGTGCACAGTGGCAGGGCTGTAGCCAGAAAAAAATTCGGGGAGGGTTGAAAATTTCGGGGCGGGGGGGGGGGGGGGTTTTGAAAATTTTGGGGGGGGGTAAATTTGGGGGGGGGGTTGAAAATTGGGGGGGGGGTTTGAAATCTGCCTCTTAGCTCACGCTAAAGCATAGAGCACAGCAGGGGCAGAGCAGCCTTCAATAGCCTGCAGCTCCCCCCTGTCAACCACCTCCACCAAGTCTGGTCTCCTTCATGAGGGCCTTCTAATCTACCCCCCCCCTCCAACTTGGTTGCTTCGCTACATCGGCTATTGCTGCAAGTAATGACAGTGTGAATAAATTGTCAATATTTGCTTGAGATAGTGCTTGCAGTTCTGGAGGGACTCTTAATTTTTTGTGTCTCATAGACTTGGCATGAGGATTTGGTTAACCAGTTAAAATTCATGAGTAAACCAGGTTTTTTTTTAACCTGAAAAATTTCAGGGGGGGGGTTGAACCCCTAACACCCCCCTCCCTCGCTACAGGCCTGCATAGTGGTATAATTAGGGTCGGTACAGCCCATTACAGTAATTAACAGACCTCTTCCTATATCAATCCTTTGTAATGTTTTTATACAAACGTCACTCATAAATTATTGTTTGTAAATTTGGTAAAATCAGCATTCTTTTAAAAAAAAACAGCATACGCCTAGTATACGAATAATAGCAAAGAATGTTATAGAAATAAATTATTTTAAAAGCATTTGAATTTTATTACAAGGTTTTCTTAGCGAGGTTTTTTGCCTTATGCTTTCCTCAGAGGCTGAGCAGGTGTGACTTGTCCAAGATCACAGAGTGGGTTTTCATGGCTAAGCAAGAATTTGAACCCTGGTCTCTTGAGTCATAGTCCAACAAGAAAAACACTATTCAGTGCTGGCTCTCAACAAGCTTACTGACCTGTTTTGGACTAGATTTTTCTGGACTGTGTTTAAGGGCAACTCAGCATACAAGAATTTATACATAAAACAGCAAATATTTGACATAATCCATGTGTATTGCATCTATTCTTTTGAATTTTAAAGCCATATTATAATGCAATGCTGAGCTTAAAACACCCTTCCCCCTTTTCACAGATCCATTTGCAGCCTTTAAAAAGAGAGGGAGTGATTTATTGGTAGGGTCCTAGTGTCATGTGATATCAACTTGGTTTGGACTGAGCATATGAAAAAGAGACCTCCAAGAGTGCTGCTCAGATTGTGCAAGACCTGGAGCCTTTGCCTCTGCCTCCTTGGAGAATATCTAATTTTGGACAGCAAGCATCATGTCCTTTTAAATGTATTAAAATGAAGATAATAACTAAAATCTATCGTTCTTTGTCAATGCAAACATTTATATTCCATTATTCTGAAGAAAGGTACCACCTAGAAACTCACTCCTTTGAAACCTTAATACCTTGAAGAAGAAGAAGAGGAGAGAGGCAAGCAGACGCCCGGAGGCTGCCTTGCTAAGAACATGCTCCCCAGCCATCATGACAGAAGAAAAGGGACTCACCTGTTCCTCATCAGACCAGATACTGACCAAATCAGACTCTTGATTAATGCAGTGCAACAGGGCACCAGTCCAGTTTTTCTTCTCAGTTGAAAAGTAATAGCAATTTTTCTCTTTCATTGCCCACTTTTTGGGGCATGAGTTGGGAACCAGGGACCTTCCCCAGCCACAGATGGATGCTGCAAAGCAAATGAAAAGCAGAAGATTCTATTAATGCTTAGCCCTGTTTGGAGACCTCAGTGTACACAGAGGCAGCTGACAATTCAGTGTCCTGTCGGCAGGGCATACACATCACCTGCTTTTCTCAACATTGCAGGCAATCTGCACTTGTTTCTTGACTCCAATTCAATCCTGAAGGGCCTCCTCCTGCAGAAGAGCTTCTGAAATATTCTGGATCCAGTTTAGAACAAAATATTTTCTATTCTGATTTTCCTGGCAGTGACCAGAACCAGCACAGGGCATTTTGCTGCTCTCCGAGATGCATGATGTCCTAAAGATAGCTGAGACAGAAGATCTTTCAAACGACTCCTTCCCTTCCTGGCAATTAAAATTACAATACATTGTGTAACGACTTATGTTCTGATCTTTCCCGGAAAAAATCTGCCGCCTGAGAAATCTGTCTTTTTCTACCTAATGATAGGACTGCTGTTATTCATTTCTTTGCCAAACTACTCTGGCAAACACCACAGGAAATTCAGACAGGGCAACAGAGCCCCAAACCATAGCTTGCCAAGCAAGATTGCAACCATTTATATTCCCCAAGCATTGGAAGCACAAGAGCTTCTGACCCAGATTCAGTTTTTGTTCTGCAGTATCTGGGATATGAGACTATTGGGAGTCTTGGAGCAGACTACCAAGTCAGTAACTGGTGAGTAGATTAATAACTGGTTAATTGTTAATTCTTATCAACAAACCTCATAATTTGTCCCCCTGCTGTCCCTCGCATAAAGGACCTTGTACAGAAGTTGATTGTAAATGATATGATTATAACTGTATTTGTGTTTGCACTGGTTGCCCTAATGCT